GCATATATCTAGGATACTACTAATACAGATCTAAAATCTATGATAGGCTTTGCTATACGTACTGGTTGTACAGTAATAAAGATGCTCTGTGTAACTTTAATGACTTCGCTATATTAACATGTTATCATCGATATGCATCGAGCGCGAGCGTGGTGGTGGTGGTGGGGGAAGGTGGGGGGAGGGGGTGGAGGGAGAGGGGGGAGGGTGGGGGGGAGGGGCGGGTGGAGGGAGCTCTAATAGCAAAAGCAGTTCAGTCCTTTGTTAACAGTCAACAAATCCATGTTTAACCCTCCTCTTGCGGATCAAAAGGTTATCAGACACTTACTCTTCGCATGTCAGCGGAAAGTATATTTCATGGTCCTTTCAATAAAGTGATAAAAACGGTAGGTCAGCGCTGAAACAAAAAAGTTTTGCACTCGGTCCGTTAGACCATGTCCTTAAAAAATGTCTGACATCTGACCTTTCCCCACTGCCCTTTGACCTGTGACCTCCAATTTTGCGCTGGTGATGGGTTTTCTCCTCATCACACTATACATCGAATATTAAGAGCGTAGGTCGAGCCGTTGAGATTTGTGCCGCAATTCCGTATTTCCTCCTATACCTTAAGTTAAGGGGAAAATATTCCCCCTCCATTGACACATCTTGACCTTTGACCCTTGAACCCCAAATTCGACATCCCGAGTCCTTTTCGCGATCACCCCCTACGTCCCGAATATCAAGACCATACGTCGTGCGGTTAAGATTTGTGCCCAACTGTTGACGCACGGACGGACGGACAATCATGCGATTCTACAAGCTGCATCCGACTTCGTCAGCTGAGCTAAAAATTTGAAATGTTATTTAATTCACACATTCCTTAATTGGAGTGTAATATTCGATTAGATAAGACCATTCTACTTCAAATTTTTTGCATTATTTGATATGTTTATGCCATCTAGGATATGAGACATCCTTATATGATCAATAAACCTATATATATATGGTGGTCACTTAGTGCATAGGCTTAGTGGAAACACTGGGTCAATATATAGAGGTGGGTTTGCTGTATAACTGTGATTTTTCAATGGAAAGACTAGTAAAAGTGACCTGTGTAGATAAGCATCCATTTGATAGAGGGGGTGCTGTTTATTTGACACTCAATAGAAAGACCAAACGGATCCTTTATAAACAAGTGTCAATTCTTTTGAGTTGGCTTCATTGTGTAATTACCACTCAATAGAAAAGCTAAAAGTCTACTTTATACATATTATATATGTCATTCTATATAATTTGTGACCACTATGACAAACGCAGGTTAAACAGCATAGCAACTTTGGTGGGCAAGTATAGTGTTACCAGATTGATCCCGACCCCAGTACTAATGCACTACTACAGACATTTCACACAAATTAACTGCACAGGAACACTCAGAATGAACATATTTATATGAAAGTCAGTAAGTTTGAAGCCACTTACGGTAGAGATTCAGATCATCGTCAGAATCAGAGTTCTGCAGGTCACCGTCATTACCAGGTGGCAAGAAGCCCACGTCCATCTCATCCTGCTGCTCTGCAGCCAGCCGCAGCTGTGGCTCCCACCGCGTTGCCATACTTTCACACAGTGTTCAACAAGACACTACATGCTCTGTACACAATCCCTACAATGTAAAACGGGTCGCATTTAAGTTTTACGCCAAGGTAGGTGTTATCTTGGGTTGAAATTTTAATAAGAAATTGCCATGATACGCTATACGACGTGATGGCAGTTTGCCAATGTGTCCATATAACAACGCTCTTATTCTTACTAGTCTTAGCACCCATCTCGACTGCCAATCACTACAATTCACCACCTGCACTACACACATCAAGTACTACTAGTAGTAGTACTACTAGTACTAGTAGTGCAACAATAGTACTACTAGTAGTGCAACAAAAACAAGAGCCACAGAGAGACTAGGCTCATCTGAGGTCTGTTGCTACGGTTATAAACGTAACATTTCAGTCGTGCGTAGTGACACCTTTGTTAGGCGCAGATATGCAGATACGTAGTTGAAACACATCATTTCAGCAAACATTTTTTTTATTGCAGAGAAAGAGAGCGAGAGAGAGGAAGAGAGAGAGGGGGGCAAGAGAGAGAAAGAGAGAGAGGGGGGCAAGAGAGAGAAAGAGAGAGAGAAAGCGGGCGAGAGAAGAGAGAGGGAGAGAGTCAGTCAGACTAAATTGTTTATAAACAAATAACACCCACGCGGCGCGCTACTGTATCAGTTACGTCATCAATTGAAATGTACATTCCGATTTCGCCGCGCGGCGTCCAAACTTTCGACGAAGATGGCGGGCAGAGGTAAGGCAGACACACGTATAACGTACAGATTTCTTCAACGTCGGGGAGGATCAACACATTTCGACTGACAGTCAACCATCGGGCTCTGCAGCGTCCACAAGCCAGCATGCTCCACCATATCCCGACATTGCACACTACTGTAATGTCGACGGAGAGAGCCATGCCAAGGACAGTACAAAACTGGCAAATTTTTATTGGTAGGTTTGACAGATATCATTCTGCAATTCCCTTTATCTCAAGATTGGTTAACTGAAGTTAAGAATGTGAAGTAAATTTTCTTTCTGCAGTTGTTTGAGCGGCAATATACGATTTGAGCCTATCCTGGCCGAGACATTTCTCACTCTGTCGCGATCCGATGTGTGCGTAATACGTGACTAAGGTGAAGGAATAAAAATCTGAAGCTAGTTCTACTTCGTTTCAGACCCATGGCTGTGATACACTATCAGCTCACCCACCTGCAACGTGCATCTTTTAAAGTGCTTAATGCAATCAAAAACAGACGCCTCTCTGCGTAAGTGCTTATTGACACTGTATTCCTCATGGTACAGATTCTCATATAGAGAAATGAGTCATATATGATTTACGGCGACGTAAACGTTGTTCAAGTAAGTTTTGCATCAGAATCCACTGTGAAAATTTAAAGTCTTCGGCACTCACAGCAACAAGTACCGCATCAAACACGTTCAGATCCCTTTGTTAACAGTCAATCCAAACTCCATTGTTAAACCCTCCTCTGAGGGTCCAAGGTGTTATCAGACAACTTACTCTTCGCACGTCAGTGGGAAAGCACATTTCATGGTCTTGTCATAAAGTGATAAAAATGGAATACGTCAGCGCCTGAACCAAAACAGATTTTTCACTCTGTCCATTATGGCATGTCCTGCAGAAAAGCTGATATCTTGATCTTTCCCCCACTTGCTTCTTGACCTGTGACCTCCAACTTTCGCACTGGATGGGTTTCCTGCCCATCACAGCCTATACACCGAGATTTGAAGAGCATAGGTCGAGCCATTCAGATTCGTGCCGCAATTCCGTATTTCCTCCTATACCATAAGTTAAGGAGGAAATATTCCCCCCCCATTGACGCATCTTGACCTTTGACCCTTGACCCCCAAATAAGTCATCCCGAGTCCTTTTCACGATCCCCCTGACGTCCCGAATATCGTGACCGTACGTCGAGCGGCTAAGATTTGTGCCGCTTGGACAGACGCTCATGGGATTCTACAAGCTGCATCTGACTTCGTCAGATGAGCTAACAAAACAAAATCAGCGTAGCATTACAGCAAGAGACAGAGGAAGCAGTTGTTTTAGACACTGGTCACACCGGAGGGTGTAGGGGTGTAACTGGGACTGGAACTAGGACTCGGAGTAGGACTGGGCACAGTGTCAGTAGAGTGAAGTGGAGAGGATGGCACATGACATTATGTCATTAACAATGTCAATAACAATACCAACACGAAATATACCTAAGCACAAGGAACAGTATATATACAATAATGTAACCCAACGAGAGTAGGGGAAATAGTAAACAAAATACTATTGACCCCTACTCTTACTCTTAGACTTAGTCTTGTTGGGTTACATTATTCATTGTATCTAAACTAGTAAAGTAAAGCCAGGAACAGGAACCAAGTGACAAGTCAAGTGACAGTTTCCGGAGTTGTTTACTAATCAAATTGCACTTCTCTGTGATGTTTACGTTAAGAACAGAATCATTAAAACGAATCTGTCGAATTTATTGTGCGCCCTGCAACCTTAAAAAGTATAAAAGGTTTCTACCAATAATATTATATACGACCTATATTAATATATACCTGACCTGTTTATAAATATAGGCACAGGCCTATGTGCTGAGTAGGGCAGCGTCGTTTATTATTGCATTTACGTTGCGCCACCTATCGCGTGGCGGCGATAACGACGATGGTTATAACTATTTCTTATCCTAACAGTTTGACTCACCTCGACGTTAAATGCTTAATAAAACACACTCAACACATTAGAATTTATAGATCACTATATAAATTCTATAGAAGTGTTTTAACTATAGATGTTTTAGAGAAAACAATTTCACTGTAAAAGGAAGACAAGTTCACCAATGTTAAGACTCGTGCTGCCCTCTTTTTAATGGTGGTGTCGTGAAAGCAAGGTAAGAATGGAATTTGTTTAATGTTTCTGTATTCACACTGTGTAATTTATTAGTGTTGGTAGTAAAACTCTATACAACAATACATGAAGTCATACATTGTGCTTATGCGACCAACATTGGTTGAGTAGTAGTTGTTTAATACGATACTAATAAATGTATTTCCTGATGGAAATACCATGTATATTTGCAATGTAAGTAAATTGTAATACACAATGACAGTACTCGGCACAGTACCTATCACGATAACGTGTTTCCTCTTACCAGTTTGCTTAAGAAGTACAGCAGCGATTACTAATGCGTACAAAACCTCTAACTTATTAGTACGTAGAGCTGCTCCAGAGAGACCGGCCCGATACAGATTTGCGCGGCTTTTTTTTCTCTTTTCTTTTCGCAAAAGATGCGCTTGTTCCCGAACCGCCAGAGCGGCTTAAACGCGCACTTCCGCGGACTGGGCGACGCGACACGCGCCGTTGTGTTGTATGTAGCATTGTCGGCTGCTCGCCTATACGAATTCGGCGCTGCGAAGCGGAAGCGGCGGCTTGGCGCGCGAATCCGTATACGCGGAGCGTTAACATCGCGCAGTTTTCGTCACACCTACACCGGCGCTCGGCTACGGCGGGCATTTGCTGCTGCTGCTTGCGTGAGGGGTC